GCCGCCGCCGCCGCGCGGGGAACCGGGACCCGCCCCGCCCCGCCCCGCCGGCAGCGCCGGGACACGGCCCACGGCACCGGCAGCGAGCCCACACCCGGCGCTCGCAGCGTGGGATGGTGCCGGCACCCCGGTACGGCTGCGGACATCCCGGTACGGGTACCTGCATCCCGGTACGGGAACCTGCATCCCGGTACTGGTACCCACATCCCCATATGGTAACTTCATCCTGGCGTGATACCTGCTTCCCAGTGTGGTGTCTACATCCCAGCGTTGGCACTCACATCCCAGTATTGGTACCCAGATCCTGGCCCAGTTCCTGCATCCCAGAGCAGCTCTGTGCATCCTGCTGTGGGTACCTGCATCCTGGTCCTCGTGTCCCAGCACTGATCCTCACATCATGGTGTGGGACCTTGGTGCTGCTGTGATCCCTGTGTCCCAGCACAGGGTCTGCATCCTGGAATGAGAGCCTGTATTCCATTTCCAGTACTGCATCCCAACACAGGTACGCGTATTCCTGTACCCACATCCTGGTACATGGTTTTGCAGCTGACCCCTGCTAGAGGAATCCATATCCTGGTACAGTACCAGCATCCCAGAATGGACACCAGTGTTCCAGAATGGACACCAGCATGCCAGCGTCAGGTACCTGCTGAATCTGGCACAGGTGATTGCAAACATTCCCCTCCATTCTGTCCCTGCACCCACAGGCCAGCACAGTCCGGGTGCATCCCCCATGGCACAGGGGACACAGAGCCTCCACTGCTGTCCCCTGCTGCAGCACAGTGCTCATGGGACAGCCTGGCACTGGATCCCTGGAAGTGGCACCTCTATGGGGTGTGCCCAGTGTCACCCAGGCCAGGCTTCCCCGGATCCCCAGGCAGGGCAGGGCTGTTCCCAGGACCCATCCCTGGTACCATCCTCACTTCCAGAGCCGTGGTTCAGCCCCACCGAGGTGCCCAGGGAGCTCTGGGCTCCCCAGCCCCACCAGGCTCCTGCCCTGGGGACAGCGTGTGGTCACGGCTGGGGTCCCATGGCCCTGCCACGCATGTGTCCCACCCCGCCCCCGTGCCTGTCCCAGCACAGCGCCCGTGCCCGTGCCAGTGCTATTAATACCCAGCAGGGCACGTGGGCCGCAGCTCCCGGGGGATCCAGCCTGGTTTGGAGTCACCAGGGAGCACCGCGTGTCCCGTCCGCCTTGGGATCGCTCCTCTGGCCGCGTGGCAGCACGGCTGTGTCCCCCACCCTCCCTGTCCCTGGCTGCCCGTCTGGGAAGGGTCTCCTCTCCCACCCCTCAGCCCAGAGGGATCCCCCCTCATGCGGGAGCAGTCCAACCCCATCCCGTGGAGTGCAGACGCTCTGGAAAATCCTTTTCTGTGGCTGCGCCCACATTCCCTGTGCCCAGCGCCCGTGGCTGAGGCTGCAGGGACAGAAATAGCTGAGGGAAAAGCTGCCATGGGAAAAGCAGGGAGGGGAGGTGGCACAGCCCTGGGAGCTGTGGGTGCAGGGGGAAAGTGACTGCAGGGAAGCGGGGAGCCCCAAACCCCACACAAGGATGGGCACAGAGATCCACAGCTCCCAGGGCAGCCAATGCTCCCCCTTCCCATGGATCCCGGGCAGAGAACCACGGGATCCATCACCTCCTCCTCTGTCTCTGCACCCTGGCTGGCACATGTTGTATGAGGATCCGTGTCCCCAAGCATCAAGGAGTCCTGGCCACCCCCAAGGCTTGTCCCACCACAGCAGGCCCTAAATCCCCGTGACTGCCCTCAAACGGGGCAGCCAGGCTCCGGGGGTGGCCCTGCTCCCCCTGCAGCCCGGGCAGGGACGAGGGTCCTGCTCCCCAGGTGACACAGGACACGGTGTGCAAGCGCAAGGTGTGTAAAAATTTATTTTGCTGTAGAGAACAAACCTAAAACATTAGAGCTCCAGCAGATGTGGAGCAGGGAGACACCAGGCACGGGCCCAGCTGGCAGAGTCACGCACGGTGGGCACAGAGAAGGACATTGAACACGAGGGATGTGGCCCTGGCAGTGCCAGGGACCAGGGGCCAGCAGTGAGTGCGTGCCCGACTGGCAGAGCAGCTCCAGCACAGGCAGGGACACCCGGCTGGCCAGCGCTGGGGACAGCAGGATGGGGACACCACCCTGGGGCTGTCCCTGGGAGAGACACCAATGCTGCCCAGCGATTCCTCCATCCCCTCGCCGGCTCCAGGCCACGATAAAACATTTAAATAGACAAAACACAGAAAAAGCAGCTCTGGGCACTACCCAGGATCTGCAGCTGCCTGGAGACCGACCCTGAGCGTGCTGGGGAAGGGCTGGTGGCACTGCCAAGCTAGTGGCACTGCCAGGCTGGCTGGTGGCACTGCCAAGCTAGTGGCACGGCCAGGCCGGTGGCACGGCCAAGCTAGTGGCACTGCCAGGCCGGTGGCACGGCCAGGGCTGATCCAAGCTCCCCTGGGAGGCCAGGAATGCAGGGATGGGTGCTGGCCTGGCTCTTTGGGACTTGCAGACAGGGACACTGTGGGGCTTTGGCCCCAGTGGGTGATGAGCTGTCCCAGCAGATGAAACCAGCTCAGGTGTGGGCAGGGGACAGGAGACAGGACAGGAGAGGATGGAGCTTCCAGTGGTGCCAGGAGATGCAATGTCCAGAGCCTCACACTCCAGACAGGGCCCCACAGAGGGGACAGCAGGTCACAGGGCCTAGGGCACAGTGTGGCACCAGCTGAGTGATGGCACTGCCACGGAAAGACTGGGCACACAGTGGGCATCCAACGCCCTCCCAGTCCTTACCAGGGCTCCTGGAGCCCTGCAAATACTGGTGGCCATGAACACTGGTGGCCAGGGGTGGGAGGGGTTGGGCCAAACGGGAGGCAGGAAAGGATGGACCCAGAGCCTGAGCCTGGCACGCTGCAGGACTCACAAGATTTCTGTGTAGAAACAACAGAAAGGAGCTCAGGACAAACCCTGGCTGTCACTGTCCCCCCTCAGCTCAGGACAGCAGCCACTGTGTCCCAGCAGGAGGGGCCAGGCCTGACCCCACACACTGGGCTGGGGGTGTCAGTGCCTGGCCCTCCCTCCCCGGCTGCCTTTGGCAGCTCTGGCTGAGGGAAAGCGGGACAGGAGATGGAGCTGTGCCCCAGGGAGCTGCAGCCATGAGCTCATCTGACAGCTCAGCTGCTGCTGCAGCTCCCAGAGGCCCCGGGAGCGTTGTGCCCTCCAGAATTGAGGGCACCAGCACAGCCCTCAGGGGAGGGGATGTGCCCAGTCCAACAGACACTGAAACACTCATGTTTGAGCTTAAAAACAAGCCTTAAAAAAACTGAACAGAACAAAAGATGAGGGTGATCCTCCAGCTGCTGGTGAGGCAGGGCTCTCCTGGCAGAGCTGCCTGCCCTGTGGCCACGGGGGCCAGGAGGCCACAGGGTGGTGCCAGGGATGGATCCTGCTGGTGCTGGGAGGTCTGGCTTCACTGGTCCTGCAATCCGGGCTGGGGGCAAAGGAGGATTTCCTACCAGGGGCCGGCTTGAGGCGGGGCCCCTCCGGGCGTCGCTGGGGACGGGGAGCTGGTGTCACGGGTGGGGCGTGGCTCTCATTTGCTCTTGGCCAGCAGGCGGTACAGGGTGAAGCCCACCAGCGCCGTCACCGCTGCCCCCAGCGCCACCCGCAGCCAGAAGGACGCGACTCCCAGCTCCACGGCGTTCAGGTGGCTGCAAGCAAACACAGGAGAGGCTGGTGAGCGTGGCTGTCCCGGCGCTCCCACCCTACACAGGGAGGCTGGGGGTGCCAGGGGGCGAGCTCAGCACAGGGGAGAAGAGCCCAGTGAGAATCTGAGGGATTCCCTGCCCCTACAAGCACAGCACTCATCGCCTGGCATCGCCATCAAGGCAAGGGAGTGCTGTGGGATGGATGTGGCTGTCCCCTCCCTGCCCTGGAAACAGCTCTCCAACACCTAAATAACTACACAGGTATCTGCCTTTCTAGGTCAAGCTGCCTTTCCAACTCCCCGTGCACGGAGAGCCGGGATGCCACCACGGGGACACTGGGATCAAAGGGCAGCGAGGGACAGGGCCCGGTGCTGCCCCAGTGCACACATTCCCTCCCCAAACACGTGCTGTCCTGCACTAACGTGCTCCTCTCCTCTCTCTCCCTCCATCCATAATTCATTCCCCACTACATCGGGGGAGCACAGCCAATCCCAGACCCTCCATTACGCTGTTATTTATTTATACCACATACCCTAAGATATATTAAGAATATTTAAATTTTAATACTGCAGAGGGGAGGAAAAAAAAAAAGCGTCAGCTCTAAAAATAAAGTTGTTTATTGAAAAGAAGCTGGAGGGAAAACTACTCACTAGTAATCCCATCCTGCCTTCCAACGCTCCCACACGCTCTCCCCGCCAGGGCTCGGCCCCTGGGGCTGTGCTCACCCTTCCTGGCCCTGGAGCAGAGGGATTCCACTCACAGGGATCCTCCTCCCTCCCCACAGCCCCCTCACCTCCCGTGACCAGCCTGCTGCTGTCCTACCCATTCCCAGCCCCTCTGGGGTGCAGTTCCTCCCAGAGAGAGGCTGTGTGACAGAGGTCTCGCTTCACTGACCTCTTTTCCAGTCTGATCCATCTCATCGGGAGAAAATAGCTGCCACCCCCCCCGTGGGCCTTGGCAAACTAAGCTGGCTACTCCTCTTCAGCATTTTTTATCTTAGGCTTCAAAAATAAACACTTCTGTGGCAGGATCTATCTACTAAATCTGCCAGAGACATACACACAGGCAGATGAAAACCTCCCCCTTCTGCAATTAGAGGAAGAAGTGGCTTTTCTGTTTCAATTATTTGTATAAGCAGATCACAGAATCACAGAACCTGGGAATGGTTTGATTGGAAAGGAACCTTAAAAGCTCATCTTGTTCTTTCCCCTGCCATGTCCAGGGACACCTTCAACTATC